CATGATAACCATGAGAAAATCAATTCATGGGTTTCCTTTTCTTCCCTATATGGGTATGGGGCTCCGCCGGGGCTCCGCTACTAAAATTACGAATCATACGAAATTTACCGTAAACTCAAGTGACTTGAGGATTAAATGGCTCCCCAAAAGACTAAGAACGTTCAGTCTCGGTCGGAAATTAGACTTTCTTACAGAAAAAAGATTGTGCTCTAGTGAAAGATATATACCTATCGTTTTTAAGGCCTATTGGCTGCTTGTTGCCTCTAGTCCCAGTGGTTATTCCAGGCAGTCTGTGTTCTTTTTAATATTATTATTCTTTTCCTTAAAATGTGACTATTTAAGTACAGCAAGGCATTTGGACATTCCTCCCTTTTAAATCAAAGCTTGCAGCAAAATAGATTTTTAAAACAGGACTTATTTTGAATGAACTGATTTAGAACATGTCTCAGTTGTGACAGTGAGGTCGTTTGTACGCGACAAACTCGAGGTTGAAGTGCGGGTAAAGTTTGATATGTTCCTGATGTATTTTTGTGTAAACAATGTGTAACTTTTCTGATGTTTGAAACCGTTAAAAATTTCGAAGTTTTTTGTCCATATTTTGTGCTGTCTTTGGCCGAAGATCTTTTGGGTCGTGTTGTATTCTGTGTTGAACATTTTAAAGGCGCTGAAACAATAAGTTGTCTATACCGAGGTGCATGGAAAAATGATAGCCAAATCTTGACTAATAAACGTTCAGCGTTAATGCCATTCAACTTGAGAAAGATTCCCAGCTATGTTACCCTATGTATAGCGAAAAGCGCAAAGTGTAAAATTTTGTGTTCTAGCAAAGTGAAATGCCAATCGCGATGTGATGACCGTCATTTTTCCTTGTCGTTTTATGGATAATTTCAAAAAAATAAACTCCACTTGGTACGTACGTAGCGCTACAACTGAAAAATTAAGAGTAAAATAGCTATATAACTTACGAATTTGGCCATATATGGCTGCTTTGATTCACTGATATTCACTTTTGTTTCCCTTGTGACAAATATGGCCGTTAATCAGGCTGATAACTTGAAAAAATTCCAATAAAGTAATTGTGGCAAAACCAGACCCTTGACCCTAAGGTATGATAGTTGCTATTTCTTCTTCTTTTTTGTAAATTAAAATCTTTTGCAACAGGTTCCTCTGAAGAAGTACCACAACTTGCGTTCAATATGGCTGAACTACAGCAGACTAAGGGGTACTTTGATCGTGCTCTAGACATAGAGCTGAAAAAGCTTGGGCCCAAGCATATTGACGTGGCAACTACGTACAATAATTTGGGTGTTGTACAGCGTGAAATGGGCAACCTGCAGCAGGCCAAGGAGTATTATGGCCGTGCTCTAGTCCTTCATTTCTTGAGTCAAGAACTGCGGACCATTATCCTAGATTAGCTCCCCAGGCAAATGATGACTTGCAAACAGGAAACGTAAAGCCCGAATAGTGGCTGACGCAGTGGTTTCGTACGCATTCTCGCACTCAATTGGGAAAACTTGAATCCACTTAGATTTCGCATCTACTACGAGCAGAAACATTTCACCATTAAATGGACCAGCAAAGTCAACGTGTATCCTCTCCCATTACCGGGTGGGCTAGATCTAAGGATTGCTGACTTTAAGAGGGCTCTTAGAATGGTTAGCTTGGCAGGCGTAGCAGTCTTGTACTGTTTGGTCCACATCTTGATCCAGACTTGGCCACCACACGCGCATGTACAATCCCAGTAGCGAAGACCATCCCAGGATGATTCAAGTGCAACTCTAACAAAACAGCCGCCTGATATTTCATTGGAATAACCACTCGGGTACCACGAAGGATACAGCCATCTTCAACGGTAAACTCGTCTTGTTTACTGTAATAAATCTTTAGCTCTTCGGTGATGTTACCCTCTGCTGGCCAACCGTGCAAAATGTTGTACATCGCGCGCGAAAGAATGGTGTGTCCTCGCGGATGTTCGACGCTGTAATTGGTGTTCGCTCCGTTTGAACGCGATTCACTTGATCAGCCTCGATATTCACTCATTCGGTTCTTCCACAGTCCTTTTTGGTAATCGAGACAATGCATCGGCACTGGCATGATCCTTGGAAGCTCAATATTCAATGTCATACTGATAGGCAACAACTGAAGAGCCTGACGTTGAAGGCGGGACACCGCCAGCACAGGGATAGCCAAGCAACAATGTGAGAGGTCTGTGGTCCGTAAGCAATGTAAAGCGTCTTCCAAATAGGTACTGATGGTATTTCTTAATACCAAAGACAATTGCAGAGCTTCTTTCTCGAACATGAAATCATTCTGCGCACTTGCTGAGAGACTGAGGGATGCATACGAGATTGGTCTTTCTTGCACTTCATCAAAGATGTGCGATAGGACAGCTCCCAAACCGAGTGATGATGCGTCAACCGCAAACCGAACTGGTTGATTCGGATCATAGTGTGCCGATAATGGTGGGCTGAGGAGCGCTTCTTTTAACTTCTTGAAAGCTTTTCGACAGGCATTTGTTCATGCCCAGGGTGTATCAAAAAGTCAACAAGTGATTCAGTGGGTTGACAACGGTCGACATGTTAGGAATGAATTTACAATAGTAATTTACGATAGTAATTTACGATGGTAATTTACCATCCCCAAGAAAGTTTTCAGCTCCGTTACATTCTGCGGCTCAGGAAATTCTTGGATGGCTTGCATTTTGCGCGGCGAAAAGTGAATTCCATTCCGATCCACCACAAACGCGAAGTACTTAAATAAAGTCTTCATAAACACGCACTTTAACCCCTTTAATTTCACACCCATACTGTCCAAGTGTTTCAGAGTGTTCTCAGAATTGCAAAGATGCTGTTCTTCATTGGACCCAGTAACAATCAGGACATCCAGGATTCCACCAACTCCGTTAAGGCCACTCATGATAGAATCCATTGCTTGCTTGAAAATGGCCGGATTTGCCGCCACTCCAAACGGTAAGCGCGTGTAACGAAACAGTCCCAGACGAGTATTAATTGTGACATACTGCCTGGATTCTTCATCTTACAGCACTTGGTGATATGCCGAGGACAGATCTAGTTTCAAAAACTTCTCACCACCATTCAACGGCGTAAATAGCTCTTCCGTAGTTGGCATGGGATACTTGGGTGCGTCTATAACAGGGTTGATAGTGACCTTGTAATCACAACAGATCCTCACTGTACCATCTGGCTTTAGAACTAGAACGATAGGCGTGGCCTAATCTGAAAACTCTACCTTCTCCAGCGCAACGATTCTTTCCAGCCTCTTGAGCTCGTCTGCAATTTCTCCTTCAGAGCAAAAGGAAATGGTTTTGGCTGAAGGAATTGCTGGGTGGCATTTTCTTTGAGCTTGAGAGGAGCGGTCACTTCCTTTATTGTACCCAGGCCCCCATCAAACAGTGGTGCTTACTTAGAAACTAGTGTCTCAACTTTGTAAACCGGTTCCAGAGACATCTTTTTGATCTGCTTCCAGTCCAATTTAAGAACAGGCAACCAGTTTCGTACCATAAGTGCTCGCCCATCACCTGCAGTGGCAATAACTGAAAGGTACGCTTCTTGATCACCATAAGACAGATGGACCATGGCTTCCCCAATAACAGGCTAGACTAATAACGGGAACTTCGTGGCCTAAATAACTGCGCAATTTCACGTCAGTTTTCTGTAGGTACTTCGCTCACAGTAAATCAATCCACACAGTCTTGGGAATGATCGTCACCTAGGCATCCATATCCAGCTGCATATTCACGGACTTTCATCAATAGCTATCAATTATTACACGGGTACAATCGACCATGGAAAACATATGCCAGGTGGTTTTATCAACAGGTTTGGCCATCGTCTCCGTCTCATTAACGTTATGGATTCCACCGGGCTCTTCTCCTTTTTCTTATAATCTGCTCTTTTGCCTTTTGGTTTCCGCTGAGTACGCTTCTCTGGGCACTTCATAATGATGTGAGCAAGCTTCTGCCATCCGTGACGTTGAGCTTTCCGATGAAAATAATTTTCCGTAGAATGATTTGTTTACCGTTTCTGAAACATTCGGGAAACGTTCTAACCACTTTGTTAATGCCGTGGGGGTCACCATGAAATCACGAGGCTTCCTTTACCCTTAATTCAGCGGCACAGGCTTTTTCCACTGCGATTGGTAATGGCAACACAACTTCAGCCAGTAACTTGCGTTGAATTGACTTTGCTCGCAAACCACAAACAAACTGATCACGAATGACTTCCTCACGATAGAAACTCCGCTAACTTTTGGAGCTTGGCGAAGTACTGCCTAACAGATTCTGAGTCTTGTTGTTCGGCCTTGTGAAAGTTGTTTCTTTCTGCTTGTATCTGAGTATGCTTACTTTCCCTTGATGCTACCGGTAAAATTGCCTGTTGTTCATAGAATTTACCCACAAAGCAACAAGTTTGTTACGGATGTGGAGAACAAGGCTACAGGTAACTCAAAACTTAATGACAGTCCTGGACCTCCAACTCAAAGAAGTCCGTATTTTATGAAACTAACTTAATAGCCCTTATGCGTTTAATACGTTTACGTTTAATGCGTTTTCGTTTAGTTCTCACTATTTTGAGTAGTATTTTTGCTTATTTAAGTTAAATGTATTCTGTTGCTGTATGATATTCTCTGTATTAAGGAAAATAACATGGTTGTTGTTGTTGTTGTTGTTGCGTGATGACATCAGACTAGCTAAAACCGCCACCAAACCTCGGTTTGAGAATGCAAATTTTAAATTTTATTATGAACTAATTCCCAAAGCAGCAATGATGAAAAGAATACCCACGTGAAAACATTACGAAGGCAACTAAGGTTTGAGAAAATGTCGCGCAAACGAGGCTTGGTGGGAAATTTTGAGCATGTTACGTAATCGCGCATAAGACCTATTACACAACAAATATTAAACATATTTCCAATTTTAAAAATGTAATCACTTATTTATATATATAAATACTAATTACAAGTAACTTGTGAATTGCGTAATCCCCACTGGACTATCAGACGACACACACAGCTCTTTGTCAACAACGATTTTTATACATCTCGTATTTACCTGGATGCCGTTAATGTAAAACGTATTGTACGTCTCAGACATATAATTTGTTTTCCCACGTAAATCAATCTCGTTCCCAGAGCCCGCGTGTCTTTTGGTCAGCGCCAAGACACGGAGCTCTGGAATAATCAACTTCCAGACTCCAAGATTTTAGGAGTTCCGGTTTCACGGCGCATGCGTGCCTTGGTTTAAAACATGGCAATATCGTTCCCAGAGCCCACTTGTCTTTTGGTTGGCGCAGACCAAAAGACACGTGGGTACGTTTTACTGTTTTCAACTCTTAGAATGATGTTATTATAGAGTTTTTTCTCCATCGAATTGCGGTCTTTATGCGTGAACAAGTACAAACAGCCATGTCTTACAGTTTACATTTTAAGTATCGGTCATTTCCTTGAGTTTCATTTGTTTGGTCATTTTCCTGTGATAATCCCAACCTTCATCACCGGTGGCCTCTCATTTGGGTAATATCCAGTATTAAACACAATAACGAAATTTAAAATTTTTACCTTTTTTGAGTGGGCTGTTTCTAAACTTTTATTTTTTTATTCTTAGAGTTTTTGCTATTTTCGTATTTTTTGCAACTTTCGTACTCTTCGCAGATTTACCGAAAACTGCAAATTTACGAAATTTACGAAAACTTAGACAATTACAATAATTTCCATTAACATCGAAGTGATCGACAAACCATATTAAGATAAGAGGTTAATGAATGGCACCAAGGGAACCTACTAAAATAGGCCAATTTCGAAGCCTAGAGGAATAAAACAGAAAAAATTAATTATTCATCCCTCGTCCCCGATGTGATTTCTTTTGTTTTATCCTTCAGAGCCAAGTTAGAATTTTAATATAGATCGGAATTCGCCTATTACAAATCGTACGAAATTACCATAAACTAGGGAAAACTGCGAAAATTACAAGTGTTGACAAAGAAGCCAAAACCATGTGAATGCATGATCCACTGCAGAAGGGCTAAGCTTAAAACGTCTAGATTTTATGTGACTTTTTTGGCACTTTTCGTATTGACTCGGTTGTATTTTGGTAAGGACCTCTTTTATAAAAACGCCGAGATCAACTCAAACTTTGAGAAAATGCCAAGAAAACACCCCAGACAGACAGTCACCATAGGAAGCTTATTTTGACAACTTTTTGAAAGAACAGTATGACCTATGGTAAAATGTAAAAGTTAGTCTTGTCAGTCCAATAACTAAATGCTTTTAGGAACAAATTTGAACAGAAACAATGAGCTTGTCTTACCGGACGCTTGGTTCGTTGTAGAATGCCTTCGGTTAAATGGTTATCTGTATTTTTTCATTCACGAATATGGCGAAAACTACTTAAGACTTTTAATTAAGTACGAATGGAAATGGTAACTAAAGAACATCTCGAGAATGTTTCAAGCGCAAATGCCCCCCCAAAAAAACTAACAACGCTCAGCCTCGTCGGAAATTAAACGTTCTTACAGAAAAAAGATTGTGCTTCAGTGAAAGATATATACCTTTCCTTTTAAGGCCTATTGTCTGCCTGTTGCCTCTAGCCCCAGAGGTTATTCCAAGCAGTCAGTGTTCTTTTTGATATTGTTATTCTTTTCCTTAAAATGTAACTATTTTATTCCAGTATAGCAAGGCATTTAGGCGTTTCTCCCTTTTAAATCAAAGCTTCCAGCAACGTAGATTTTTACAACGGGACTTATTTTGAATGAACTGATTTAGAACATGTCTCAGTTGCGACAGTGAAGTCGTTCGTGCGGGGCAAAATTGAGGTTGAAGTATGAGTAAAGTTTGATACGTTCCTCATATATTTTTGTGTAAACAATGTGTAACTTTTATGTTGTTTGAAACCGTTAAAAAGTTCGAACCTAGTTTTTTGTCCATATTTTGTGCTGTCTTTGGCCGAAAATCTTTTGGGTCGTTTTCTATTCTGTGTTTAATGTTTTAAAGGTCCTGAAACAGGTTTTTTATACCGAGATGCCTACAAAATTGATAGCCAAATCTTGACTAATAAACGTTCAGCATTCATGCCATTCAACATGCGAAATGTTACCCTAATGTATAGCGAAATGCGCAAAGTGTAAAATTTTGTGTTCTCGCAAAGTTAAATGCCAATCGTTGTGTGATGACCGGTCATTTTTCTGTGTCCGGCGTTTTATGGATTATTTTAAAAAAACAAACTCCACTTGGTACGTACGTAGTGCTACAACTGAAAAATTAAGAGTAAAATTGCTCTATAACTTATGAATTTGGCCATGGCTGCTCTGATTCACTGATATTTACTTTTGTTTCCCTTGTGACAAATATGGCCGTTATTCAAGCTGATGACTTGAAAAAATCCAATAAAGTAATTGAGCCAAAACCAGACCCTTAAACCCAAGGTATGGTATAATTAACTACAGGTCATGTAGTTAGTGAGGTAAGTTAATGTGCTATTTTTACTTCTTTTTGTAAATTAAAATCTTTTGCTACAGGTTCTTCTGAAGAAGTACCACAACTTGCGCTCAATATGGCTGACCCACAGCAAACTAAGGAGTACTTTGAACGTGCTCTAGACATACAGCTGGAAAAGCTTGGGCCCGAGCATATTGACGTTGCGACTACGTACAACAACTTGGGTCTTGTACAGCGTGACATGGGCAACCTGCAGCAGGCCAAGGAGTATCATGAACGTGCTCTAGACATTGCACTGAAAAAGCTTGGGCTCGAGCATACTCACGTTGCGGCTACGTACTACAACTTGGGTCTTGTACAGCATCACATGGGCAACCTGCAGCAGGCCAAGGGGTATTATGAACGTGCTCTAGACATAAGACTGAAAACGCTTGGGCCCGAGCATACTGACGTTGCGACTACGTACAACAACCTGGGTGTTGTACAGCATGACATGGGCAACCTGCAGCAGGCCAAGGAGTATTATGAACGTGCTCTAGACATAGGACTGAAAAAGCTTGGGCCCGAGCATACTCACTTTGCGACTACGTACAACAACTTGGGTGTTGTACAGCATGACATGGGCAACCTGCAGCAGGCCAAGGAGTATCATGAACGTGCTCTAGACATTAGACTGAAAAAGCTTGGGCCCGAGCATACTGACGTTGCGACTATGTACTACAACTTGGGTGTTGTACAGAATGACATGGGCAACCTGCAGCAGGCCAAGGAGTATTATGAACGTGCTCTAGACATTAGACTGAAAAAGCTTGGGCCCGAGCATACTGACGTTGCGACTATGTACTACAACTTGGGTCTTGTACAGCATGACATGGGCAACCTGCAGCAGGCCAAGGAGTATTATGAACGTGCTCTAGACATAGGACTGAAAAAGCTTGGGCCCGAGCATACTGACGTTGCGACTACGTACTACAACTTGGGTCTTGTACAGCATGACATGGGCAACCTGCAGCAGGCCAAGGAGTATTATGAACGTGCTCTAGACATAAGACTGAAAACGCTTGGGCCCGGGCATATTGACGTTGCGCGTTTGTACATTAAGTTGGGTGCTGTACAGCGTGACATGGGCAATCTGCAGCAGGCCGCGGAGTATTATTTGCTCGCCGAAGACGTTAGGCTTAAACAATTTGGAACCGAGCATATAGACGTTGCGCCTTCTCACATTAACTTGGGTGATGTATAACGTGACCTGGGTAGCCTGCAGCAGGCATTGTAAAACTGATCCGCAGCTGAAAAAGCTCCGAGCATGTTGACGGCAACGAAAACGTCGCTTAACAACAGTTTTAATGAGCTAAACAACGGCTGTGCACGTGCGTTAAAATTCTTCGTACATTTCTTTACCGTCCTATTCCAAACAAGAACGTGAAATAACCAAGTTCTGCCTATGTCGTTGCATATTTAGCCTGAGTATGTTTTCAGAGCCATTGGCGTACTGAACAAATCTAGACCATTTCGAATTTCGCTAGGAAAATTTTTTTTTTTTTTGACTAGGCGTAGTCCTATAGAACAAAACCCGGCACACGAGCCATTAGGCGAGAGTTTCACTGATGTTTTTACCACATTTTGACGTCTACTGATACATGTATCTATTAGGGAGCTTAAGCAAAGCACGACAGCGACGGCAACGAGAACGTCACCAAACAAAAGGTTTAATGAGCAAAACAATAGCTGGGCACGTGCGTTTTAAATCTTTGTATATTTCCTTCGCGTCCTCTGCAAAACAACAACGTGAAATGACCAAGTTCTGCGCCGTCTACGGAACGTGTGGACAACGACGGCCAATTTTCGTATTTCCTTTTGGAATTGAACGCCGTCGTTCCATATTTAACTTAAGCACGTTTTTAGAGCCATTAGCGTACTAAACAGATCAAGACAATGGCGAAGTTCGCTTCTAAAATATAACTTCCTTTTTTACTAGGCCTCGTCCTAGCCGTCTTCGTCGTCGTTGCTTAAGAGTCACTGACCGGAAATATCGAGAATGGCTGGCCAGGTTCGAAAAATCGAAAATCCTGAAACTTTGCCTGAAGAACGCTTTTAGGGAGCTACTTTCGAAAATATTATTCCGATTTTCTTAGAATTTAAAGTATTCGAAAAATTCACAAAAAACGAAAATACAGCTTTTTGCCTCATTAAATATGCCAAAAATATTTGGAAAATTGACAAAGTTCTCGGTATTCGCATTGAAACAATTCACAAAACTAGAACACGAGGTAAACTTAGCATAAGAGCTTTAACTTTCTTCTATCTAACAACAGGAAGTTTTAAATTTTTCAAGCACTTTGAACGGTTTCGTCGACCGTCGAAGAATTGCCTTTTCAAGCCCCTACGAAAACGGCAAAAATTGCGTAGTTTTACGGGCGTAAAACGCATCTTGGTATGTCCGATATGGAACTAAAACAAGTACTGTGCAAAAGAGTGTCGTTTCTACTATAATAATATGGAAAAGAATTTCTGGGCAATTAAGGTTCACACAGGTAAAATACAAAAGTTCGCGACAGTCTCTTCTCAAATATGCATAATGCGGTATGTTCAAAGAACTCTATTGTTGAGCACTCTAGTCTGTTTTTGTTCCATTTGTGGGCCATGCTTTGTGGGAAATATACAAAACGAGAGTTGATCCATGTCGTTATTACAACATCGTTTCATTATTTCACGCAAAGTACATAAAACTATAGAAAAAGCCCAAAATATAAGTTCAACACGCTACATTTATTACGTGATTGTCGTCACCTAATATATATTTTCAGTTAGCTCCAATTAATTGGAATTCCTAGATTATTGAGGTTTAATTTAGACACTTGCTTATAATAGAGACATATTGGGGTTTGTCTTTCCCGACTATACACACTCGATTAGTCTGCAAATATTCGAAAGGAGACTAGTCTTTTAAAGTATTTTTTAACGATGTGTCTCGATTTTGATCTTGATGGGAAACGAATTAAATAAATGCACTAAATGAAACGAAAAGGTTTTATTAACGTGATCCAGCTAGACCAAGGAAGCAGGTTTTCTTGAAAAATAGAGTAAGACTGTTTAAAAACTATCCCGCGATCTGACCTCGATTGGAATTCGGCCTAGTCCTATTTCTTCATGTGTACCTCATACTGAAACAAAATAAAATGTCATCGTAGTAAAAAGTGCGGGGGGGGGGAGGGGCTTAGTTCGGCACGTGAATGGCAACAGCATGCCGTTCGAAGCCAGGTCGCGCTACTGCCGTGCGGAACGGCATTAGGCCTGCCGTGCTATAAGTAGTCGCGCCGACTTCAATTCACCCTGCCGAACTGAGTGCATGCATGGTTTCAAACGTCATGCTACTTCCGCGCTCGAGTCGAAGTTCTTGGTGTTCGCATTGAAACAATTTACAAGACTAGAACACCGGATAAACTAAGCATATATGAAAGCTTTACATTAAATTAAATTTTGAGGGGTTCCGTCGACTGTCGAAGAATTCAAGCCCCTATTGCAACGGCAAAAATTGCGTAATTTTACGGGCTTAAAACGCGTCTTAGTTTGCCCAATATCGAGTGGAAATAAATACTTTGATGGAACTTTTGGTCTTCCTCAATCAGTATTTGAAACAAACAACCTGGGCAGTAAGAACGCGCGCCAGCAGATACAAACCTTTTTGAGGCTAAGTGAACTTATTTGCATAATTGACAAAAATTGAAAAGTCTCTTTATAGAATGACTACTCGATATATTTCTAACGACTTTTTTTTTGTCGTTGTTGGTGTCTTCAATTACTTAGCCTTAATAGTTTTCAAATGATAAAGAAAGAGGAAAAATCGATGGTTAAACTGTCAACCGTTTTACATAACGCATAGTTTGGCTCAATCCCCTAAACGGTACTGCAAAACCTCTCGCGGTGGACCTTTGGAGGATTAACCCCTAAATTGTACGACAAGCAGCCCCGTTATTTTTATATGAGTCTTCCTCCCCCTCCGGGGGTGGATAACTAAAGTTTGCATGCCGTGTAGCGCGACTTGGCTTCGGCGTGCTCTTACCGTGTCGAACTGAATTCATAGCCTGCTGCATCAGCTGCCGTTGCTAATGTTTGTAGCATTTAAAATGGCCTTCAGCAAAGCAAGCGTCTTCCGATCTTCAGCGCGACTGATTAAATTCGACGTTTGGAATCACCGCTGTTCTCTTGTCACTGCCACTACCAGGAAAAATTTATTGGAGGTCGGTACGGCAGAAGCACGACGTTTGGGCTAAGCCGAATTCCAACTGAGGTCAGCTCGCGGGATAGTTTTCAAACAGTCTTACTCTATTTTACAAGAAAAGCTGCTCCCTTGGTCTAGCTGGATCACGTTAATAAAACCTCTTCGTTTCGTTTAGTGTATCTAATTAATTCGTTTTCCATCAAGATCAAAATCGAGACACATGCTAAAATTTACTTTAAAAGACTAGTCTCCTTTCGAATATTTGCAGGCTAATCGA